CTCACCTCACCCCGGCTGGCCCGCCCACTATTAGCGTTCCGGCATCGATCAGTTTACAAATCAAGCCCTGGGCTAAGCTAAGGGTTAGCCAAACGATAGCCTGTAAAACAGCAACAAACTAAACAAACAGTGTCAAGCAAATGCATAGAGGTTTATATTTAGCTTATGTAGCATGGTTTGAAAGACTTATAAGCCTGAGAAACAATATGAAACAGACCCGTGTTTGGCTAGCCATTAGCTTAGCCTGGTTGAAGACTTCTGCTTTTTTTTTTTAACCACACTCTGTGCTTTATGACTGATCTAAAATAATAATTATTGATGAAAAAATTGATAGAACATCACTTCAAAAACAACCAGACTCTCTTTTTCATTAGAAGTCATGATTAGCAGCGTTACAATATTCCTTTACATGAATGGGACACACTTTAAGAAGCTAATCTTTCTATGTAAACTCTGCCCATTTAACTGGTTTTCAAGCTTGCAACACATGTTTTAATTGCTTTTTAGGAAAAATTTTTTCAAGTCATGCAACCTTTATTTATACAGGTTAGTCTCATTGAGTCACGAGGACCCATTTTTCAAAATACCTGTTTTAGACAAAACCACAGATAAGGTACATACAACAATAAACAGCCGTTAAATGCATATACAATTACAAAGTAAATAAAAGTAGGGTTACAAAAAAAAAAAAAAAAATCGATCTACATTATAAAACAAGGTCAAATACTAAAAACAGGAGCACTGATTAACTTAAATCAACTTAAACTTAAGTTAAAAAACAACTTAAAGTTGTTAAGTTTTAAACAACTTAACAATTGTTTAAAATCCTTTAAAGAGATCAAAGTCGACAGCTTCAGGTTTTTGTTGCGAGGTTTTCCAGGTTACAGGAGCAGAGGAAGAAAAGGCCTTTTTGCCAAGTTCAGTATGCACTGAAGGGACGCTGCAGGTAATGATGTCTTCAGAGCGCACTGACGACGTGACATGTAGGAGGAGATACATGAAGGCAGCAGACCAAGGAGTGATTTAAAGCTCAACTATTGTATTTTCCAGCGTATAAGTCGCTCCGGAGTATAAGTCGCATCAGTCAAATAAAGCATCATGAAGAGGAAAAAAACATATGCCACATTTATTATGTCACCGGGGCAGCACGGTGGCGCAACTGGTAGAGCTGCTGCCTCTCAATGAGCAGGTCCTTGGTTCAAACCCCGGTCCAGGGGCCTTTCTGGGTGGAGTTTGCATGTTCTCTCCGTGCATGCGTGGGTTTTCTCTGGGTGCTCCGGTTTCCTCCCACAGACCAAAAACATGCATGTTAGGCTGACTGGTGACTCTAAATTGTCCCTAGGTGTGAGTGAGAGAGTGAATGGTTGTTTGTCTCGTTTGTCTCTATGTGGCCCTGTGATGAACTTGCGACCCGTCCAGGGTGTACCCCGCCCCTCGCACAGTGATTGCTGGACATGGGCACCAGCGCCCCCCGTGACCCAAAATGGAATAAACGGGTAAAGATAATGGATGGATGGATGGATTATGTCACCGCTGACCCGTCGCGTTTATTATGCATTTATTTAATGGTCAAAACTGCTTCATTTCACCTAGAGAGCACAGCGCCGTCCATCCATCGCGACTGGAGCCGCTAGCTCTCCAATTTCCTCCGCATGCACCAACTGCGTGAAGCGAGCGCGCACAGTAGGACTCACTGTTGAAGTTCTTCGAAATTTAAAGCGTCAATCAAAAATGGAATTATGATTATGGAAAAAATGTATATAAGTTGCTTCAGCGTATAAGTCGCAGGACTGACAAATTATGCAAAAAAACTGTGACTTATACACCAAAAAATATGGTGATATACTAAATGTGTGTTATACCAGAATACATTAAACTAGACATTACGAAGGTTGCGACCATTTCTTCACAGATTTGGTGATGTCTATCATTTTTAAGCTGTTTTTTTTTTTTTTTTTGTATTTATCATCATCTGAACTTTTACTCTTCTGCTGTTTTTGTTTTATTTGCATTTTGGAAGCCCCATTTCTATCTTATTTTGCCAGTTCTTGCAGAGTACATTATTTGCCTTGTAGTGGTTATCTAAATCAGCTACGACTAAGTATTATTTTCAGTTAATTTACCAATATTTGACTTAAATATGGCATTGTAGTAGCTGAAAGTCATGAGTTTTGTTACACAAGTTGACAAGAGACGTATCAGATACTTGTCATTTTCATGCCACTTCTTTGCTTTTTCTGTTAGTAAGTCATTTCCGTTTTAATCCAGTTTGTTCTTTTTCAGTAGATCACTTTGGTTCCTCCAACCAGCCTGCCTACAGCGCTGGACATCGGCCTGTTTCTCTCCATTTCTCCCTCATCAACCTGCCAAACCATTTCCTCCGTGCAAAGTGAAATCATACACGTCTTACTTGCTAAAATTCATTTAAACCTTAAAGAATAAACAAAAGAATGGATTCAACTCTGGATTCAGGCTGACTCCTCTCACATCCAGTTTGGGTGCAACACTCCATTTTATCGATTTCTGTGCAGATTGAATTCTTATTTAACAGCTGACAGCCTCTTTGTGCATTCCTCGTACTGTGCGCACCTTACCTGGCCAATTTGAAGATGAAACGATCATATAAAATTATCCTGGTTTCACTTTCTTTCTTTCACACTGTTCAGAGGAAATATGAAGGCAGTCTGTAATTAAATGACAACATTTCAGACATTTGCACAGCGATCCTTTCAAAGTCTGAAAGATAGAATCCCCAGTGAGTCAGCAAGCTGAAATAGATTTTTTTTATATGTCTTGTTGTGCCGTCTTTTGAAGCTTTTCGAATCAAAGCTCAGGAATTTCTGCACTTGAATGATAAAACTCTGCAGTGAGGGTTACAGCTGAAGCCGGTGCAGTTATGGCTCTCGGTGTTGAAAACTGCTCTGACAGTCAAACGAGTATTTACATCCTAACTTAGATGTTTTTCTATAAGTGATAAGATTAATACTGTTAATATTGATCAACTCAGCTTCAGTGCAAGACTAATTTAGACGTTTATTTTACGTTAGACAGTTTTTTAAGCATCCTATAGCTTTAAAATCAAGTTTTCAGTTTATTTTTTATAACCAACAGCTGAAGCTGACGGCGAGGGTGGAGCGATAACGGTTTTGCCATATCGGCGTGTGTCTCTTTGTCTGCACCGTTAGCAAAATATCTCATGCATCACTGAGAAGTTTTTAATGAAGCTTGCAGAAACTGATATGAACTTTCGATATAGGAGTCTAAGGGGGGATGGGCATGCATTCCTTGAAAATGTATGTCTTCTGCTCAGATCTGGGTAAACTTTGTGCATAATTAGAAAGCAAAAGGACATGTTGGTTAGTTTTTGAAGCTATTTATGGATGATCTAAAACGCACATCCGCCTCCATGGACCCAGGCCTCGGGGCTCCATATAAAGGTAAATATGTCTGACCTGTACACCTGCTTCAGGTTTGGGAAAGATTTTTGATCATCAGATTGTTCAATTATAAATGAGAAAAAAGGCTTTAATGTAATGAAAGTCATGACTTTTTCTGTTTTTGGATCTAAGATCTTTGCATCTCCAACTTCAAGATTATTTTTCTATTTTAACACGCGCATTTTTATAAAAGAAATATCAACTAGAGAAATTGTGTTTCCTGTGAAAATGCAGTGTGAATGCTTATTGCTGAAGAACTTGCTGGAAAAACAGCTGAAATCAGCTAAAAATATGCTGAAATGAAGCTGATATGGAAGAATGAGCCTAAATTAGCAGAAGAAAGCAGAAGGAACACATATTTGGTGAATTTGGTTTAATTAAGCAGAAATGAGCACAAAAAAAGAAAATTAACTGCACTTGTAGGCTGAAGTTGTTGTGGTAAAGTTTTTGGTCAAACTTATTTATCAAAGTCCTCCACATGAAAAAAAAAGCTGAATAAACGGCTTTCCTGCAGAGATTTGGCATTTTAAATAGATGATTGATGCTGTTTTCAGTGTCATAACCTGGTGATTGTTTCTAAAGTCCTCTTGTTGTAATTTAAAGATTATTCTCAATTTAAAATCATTTGTTATTTTTTTCTGATCAAAGAAATCCTAAAACTTTTTCTTTGCATCACTTTTTTGTTTGCATGTTGTTTCCACGCTTACATGCTTACTCAAGCTCTTTATTTCACATACAGGTATACAAATATACAAATCTGCAACTGTTACATGATTTTTATGCTCTTGTGATCTTCTGATAGAAAATCCTAAATGAATTTGAAACATTTATCCCAGGAAACCAGCAGATTGTTTTGGCTTATATCTAAAATGCCGATGGATAATTTGGATTTTTGCATGTTCACTGCCAAACGATTTTTTTTTTTAATTGACAAATGATCGAGCAAAGTGTAAGTTTTACATGTTATTTGTGTTTCTATGACATCAGATCATCATCGTCCGCTGCCGAGAGGCGTATGTTGTCAATTTATTTTTAGGGCAACTGACCCTGGAAAACACTAAAATGATCACGACTCAGTCATTTTTACAGATACTAAGCTAAAAGTTGATGTGGTAGTAGCTGACAATCATTTAAAACATATATTTGAGAATGAATCTTGCACAACACAATTTTATTTTCAATGTTTGACCAAAATAACGTCAGCATTTTTTAACAGAGTAAAATTAATCTGGCATGAAAGGCTAGAACATTTTGATATGCATTCCTTCAGGGAATACAAGCTCTTACATTTATATTGTACTTTATTTATGTCCTGAAAAGACAAAGCATGTCAGTTGCATGGCAATACAACATCTTTACAAATATATGTAGTTTTAAATTAATTTAATTTGTAACATATTTTGTCAATATACATTCAAATATAAGCTTAATTTGTGGAGGAAAAAGTAAAAAAGCGGAATAAAGCCTAAAGTAAAGACAAAGACCTTTCTGCGTTGAGATTTCTGCAGGCTGAAAAGCAACGCGAGGGCGTTATGACCCTCTCGAGGCGCCGTAGTTTGAAACCCGGAAGCGCAGTTGCTGACAGCCAAAACAACATGTAAGCAACACTGTAAAGATTAAAACATTTTTTTACATAGTTTGTTTGAACTATTGACGTTTCATCTTTTGTCAGAAGACTTTTGTTTGTTCTTTTGACAGTTATGAGCTTTGTTAAAAGTTGCGCGACGACTTAGCTGAAGCGGCTAATGTAGTTAGCATCTGAGTCAGTGCCACATCATCGTCAAAACTACTGACCTCACTCACTATCTGATTCTTTTTTCATGAAACGTATTTTTCCTCCATTTTTATGCTTATTATTGTTTCATGTTTGGTTTTATTTGTTCTGTAAGTTTTGTGTAGGAAAACTAATCTTAGAAAGAGTTGATTTAGACTAGAATCTTATAAATAAAGCTCAAACTGGAAGTTATTTCTTACACCAATGTTAAGAAAATAGGATTTATTTAAATATAACAAACGATAGAGTGAACATAAATACTGTCATTAGCTGAAATGATGACATTTAGGACTTAATATTCTGTGTAGTAAATGGACAAGAGTGTAAGAAAAGAGTCAAAACATGAGTGTTTACACATTTGCTGTGCATAAATCTAAACATGACAGCTGTTTTTTAACTTGGTGTGGTTTGATTTGTTTCCAGGGGTTGATTTGCTAACAGATGCAGGAGCGTTGTCCTCCAGTAGTGATTCCAGTGAGTTTGGATGAGTTGATTTCCTGTCAGCCATGATGGATCAGGAGGAGGAGGAAGAGAAGCTGATGGCCAAAGGATCGCCGAAGGGGGTGGATGTGTGCACACCCATGTGCTGCCTGGCCTACTTGTCTAGGGTCAACCTCTTTGTCGCAGTGTCTGTCGGCATGTACGTCCGCTGGGAGGTGATGAATGAGCCCATGATTCTGGTCATCTTCATCCTGGGCCTCTTTATGCTGGCGATTGCAGGCATCCTTCACTACTACTTTGCTATGGAGAAAGCCAGCCTGAGCTTGTTCCATTTGTGGTTTGGCTTTCTGCTCGGACTCCTGTGCTTCCTCAACAGCCCTGAATTTGCGTTGGATGTCAAAGAAGTGGTTGCCAACTACCTCCTCATAGCCAGTGCGGTTATGAAAGCCATATGGGTCATTTTTGAGCGTATATGTAGCTCTGTTCATTACAAACCCACCTTGTTAACCTCAGCTGAGTGGCTGGAGCTCCTAGGATTTGGCATTGCCAGCACTAGTATGTTTTTTCAAAAGTCGGTGGCCATAATAGGCCTGGTAGTAGCTCTGGGGGCTCTGATTGTGGACCTGAGGATGAAATCCCTCCTGGCTTTGCCTAACCTGATCAGTTTTGCGTTGATTACATCTCTCGTGTTTTTCCAGGCCATAAACATCTCAGCCAACCCTTATGCCTTAGGCTGCTACCTGGCCAGGCTGCTCTGTGAGCCTGTCTTAGACGTGTACTTTAGTGCGCTGGGACCAAGTGAGCGCTGGATGCCAGTGCTCTCCCTTGGGAAGGTGTGGAGGAGACTGTCTCTGTTTCCTCTGTGTGTGATGGAGCTGGCATTCTTTGTCCTCGCTGCCTTGAAGGTACATTCATCACTCTGCACGAATCACTGTCCAACACTGTGATGTGTAGAATGCAAAGCAGAATGCAACACTTTTCTAATATAAAACTCCTTTATTAACAGTGGAGCATAAAAGATACTGTACATTTTTTAAATTTTAAATAAAAGGTATTTTTGAATTTGATGGTGGCAACACATCTTAAAAAAAGATGGATCAAATAAAAGTTGTAAAAGTAAGTGATAATATATTGAACAGTTGGTGGAGCTTTTTGAAACCAATTAGCTTAAATGGCAACATATCAGTAAGAGCACTGAGTATAAAAATAGCATTTTAAAGATGGGCAGAGGTTCATCAGTCTGAAGAAACCACTGTCTAAAATAGTGAAACAATTTCAGAATATTGTTCCTCAATAAAAAGAAATGGAAAAACTGATTCATTCATCATCCACAAATGCTGGTTAAAGCTCCATCGTGCAAAGATGAATCCATACATGAGCACCAAAAGTTGCCGTCTTCTCTGGGTCAAAGATGCTTTGAAATGGACTGAGGCAAAGTGGAAAGCTGTTCTGTGGTCAGACATATCAAAATTAGAAATTATTTTTTAAATCTTCAGATGTCACATCCTTTACTAAAGACAATGGGGACCATCTGGCCTGTTAGTGCAAAGTTCAAAAGCCCGCCTCTCTTATGGTATGGGGGTGCATTAGTACCTCTTGGCATGGGCAGCTTTCACATTTGGAAATGCACCATCAATGGAGAAAAGTATATACAGGATTTAGACCAACATTTGCTCCCATGCAGGAAAAACTCCCAATAGTTCTTAGATTTTACAAATTTTTGTTAAAAACATGACACTGGCCCAACTTTTAAAGATGTGACACTGCCATCAAATTCAAAATTACCTTAATTTGATCAACTTTTCCCTGCGTTCTGGTTGTATATAATATTTGTTATCATGTCTTGCGCAGCTTGGACACTTGGAGCTGTGGTATCTGGTCATCCCAGGCTTCTGCCTGTTTGGCCTCTTCTGGGCCATCTGCCATATAATTTTACTGATCACAACTTGGGGCTTCCACACCAAGCTGAGCGACTGCCAGAAGGCCTGGCGGGCCCATCAGTCAGGCAGACGGAGCCTGGACCAAGTCATGGCCTCTCGAGGCATCCGGCACTTCTGCCTCATTTCAGAACGCCTGGTGTTCTTCACCGTGCTGTCAACAGTGATACTGGGAGCTGTGTCCTGGCAGGTAAGATCTATGAGAAAACACCTGCATCAGCTACTGCTTGATATAGTGTCATCATAGTGTTTTCATTTAAGTAGTTAAGATGAAAGGGATATCGTTTTGTCACATTTACTGGTAGCAGTGTGCAGTTAATGGTGACGCCTCTTCCCTCATAAAACAAATTTAACTTCACCTGGCAAGAATCAGACAGGCCTGATTTAAGATGTGCACGTTGTTGCTGCTGGTTGCAGGTTTGTCAGAGATGGCGAGAGCTACGGGACGTGCGTTTTTTGCTGTGTTTCAGCCCTTTGTTTTCCAGTTCAGTTGGATTACAGTAAACGTAATGAATTTGTTCAACTGCGATACATTTATACAAAAGGAAATTATGGAAATTTTAGTACCGTACCTGCCGCTGTACATGTTGCACCGCCGTATAAGTCGCATCAGTCCAAATGTGTCTAATAAAGTGGAAAAAAACACAAATGCGTTGCTTCGCCGTATACGTCGCATCTATTATGCGTCACCGCTGTCAACCTGGAAACATGGGCCGGTGTTGTGCCAAATATCGATTGGCTGCCAATTGAGGGCTGTGGGAGCGTGCACGGGAGGACTTTTACAAGAATTTAACAAGATTAACACTTAAAAACAATTATTTGTTTCCTCGATATTATAGCAAAGGTGTGTCTCAGTTTAACTTTCCTTAATAAATGCACTTTAACGGTCAAATCAGCTGCATTTCCAGGTGAAATTCAGCTGATTTGACGTTTGCTCCAGGAGTTCTGGAGCGAGACAAAGGTGGTTTGGTATGGCAAGTCACGTGTCTCATTAATAGCCACTTTTACATATTAATGAGACACTTGGCTTGCCATATTAGTCGAGGGCCCTCTAGTGGTTGAAAATGGTAGTGTTCAATTTTTTCCATCTCAGAACAAAAAAATTGTTACAAATATGGGGAACAAACATTTATTAGTCGCTTTGCCGTATAAGTCGCAGGGCATGCACATCTATGTAAAAAGGTGCGACTTATACAGCGAAAAGTACGGTATATTTTGAAGTCTTAGCAATAAATAATTTTTTTAGTGAATTTGAGTTCTTAGAGATGCACAGACTCGACCTAATGCAGATGTTCAAGGCCTTATTATGAGATGCCAGATTCATCGCTGTTTTCAGAAGAATTAAAACCTTTGAGAATATAATATATATATTTTTTTATATTTTGTGAGCCGTAGGTTTTTCTTTTAAGACTGTGTGAAAATGTGTTTGAAAGCGTGGATTGAAGAAAAAGCCGATTATTGATTTTCCGAGACTGAACAAGAGTGATTTCCTTGTTCAGAAGTCAGCTTTTGAAATGCAGAGGTGCTCGTGAACGACCTTCTCGCAGCTTCGTTCTATTTCACATCATCAGTCAGCCTGCGAGAACCACCACTGGACTGCAGTACATATTGATACAACACCTTTCTTCTGTGTTATGGTTCAGATACAGCAGTTATGCATTCTATAAAAAAGAACGTCTACTAAAACACATTTCAAATTATACTTTGTTTATTTTATTTTTTTTTATCTTACAAGTACTAAACAATAATATTTAATGGACAATCCGCCAAACTTTTAAAAATATATATATTTTTAAATTACTATTAGAAATTGGGTCAGTTATATATAATATTATTTATCCAACTTCTGTTTAACATCTGTCCCTTGATAACGAGAAAATCATTTTTTCCACTTTATGAAACGGCTGCATTAGTTCTGGTTATAATTTATGGAAACAATATCCAGATGTGCTGCACCCTGAAACTCAAGATCAGACACACCTCATGCTTTTGTTATTTAGAAAACATAATGTCTAATCAAAAATAGTAAACTAGTTCAACACTCAGAGTTTCTGCTATTTACAATTTGTTGTCCACCCTAGCCTGCAAGATCCAATAACATATCCCGCCTTTATATTGTTTCAGATAATAGACATGTCCCCTGAGAGGTGGTGTTGTATGAAATGGACTCCAGTTATTAGCTGTAGCCCTCAGCTTTTAGGTGAACAGGCTACAAGGTGCAGCACGCCACTGTTTAGCTCGTTTTAAAAGATTGTACACATTTTTAAACAGTTTTTATGTTGTTTAATGTGTGTTCAAACCGTGTTGGAAAATGATGGAATAAAGATATTTTATTGATATGATAAATTTACCAACACCAGTCTGATTGTTAAAGTGTGACAAAACCATGAAGAAACGAATAAATCACAAGCATCGTTGGAAAAATACGCACTTTTGATGCTTACAGGTTTTCTGTAAATTGGAAAATAAACTGTAAGGAGCCAAATGGGTAAACACATGCAGGTATGGGTCACTATAAATAAATGTTTACAAAGTTTAAAAATATATAGCTGTTGTTTTATGTAATTGGTTATGATAATGTTTAAAATTTATTTTTTAAATATCAGTGTAAATAAGATGCATCTTAACCCACACATATATAAGTTAAAAAAATGTGTTTTTTCTGTATTTATCTTTTGGAAAAGAACATCAGTTTATGAGTGGTTAATCATTGTAATAGTAGAACCATTAAAGTAAAACAACTTTCAGATTCACATATCAAACCACCACATTTATTCACATTTTATCTGTAAAACGTGTACATTTGAAGAGCTGTTTTTACTCCCAACACTGACAACGTAATAAATGTTAAAATCTATTGACATGGTGTACTTTGTGGAAAACTACCAGCTCCTTAAAGAGTAAAACTGCCAATCAATTTTATACCAATAAACTATCTCTAGTACCTGATTATTAGCAGTTTATACAAGCGTTGAATAACATTTATTTTAGATTCTCCAAAATTGAAGTAGTTCAGCCAGCGTAGGATCGATGCTGAAAACGTTTTTTGGGTTTTATATTTAAGCGCCAAATCCAAACGAGCTAACGATTTGCATAGTTTGTTTGATATGTGTTTTATCTTATTGCGTTTGCTACCGGTACTTGCAGTAGCAAAAGTTAAAGGTAAAGATTAAATAATGGCGGCGAGACTATAAATGTAATATTTCCAGCGGAGCCAGTTCCACTGGAGTACACAGGCAGATCCTCAGTTTTGGACTGATGGCCTGCTTGGTGGCGTGTTTATTCGCCTTCTGTCTAACCCGACATCGTTTCCGTTTAGTTAGTGCCTGTCATGTCTTGTGCTGTGATGATAGCAGTGCCATATTGTGCAGCTGTCTCCCTCTGTGTCTGCAACAGTTAAGTGAGTCTGATTATCTCGGTACGGACTGCAAGCGGTGAATGAAAGTGACTGATTGTTTTGGATTTTTGCAGCCGTCCAATGGGCTCTTTCTCAGCGCTCTGCTGGTGGTGCTGCCCTTGGAGTCTCTTGCCCACGGCTTGTTCCATGAGCTGGGCAGCTGCCTGGGGGGAACTTGTGCTGGCTACGCACTGGTCATACCTACAAGTTACTGCAGGTACTGTTTGAGCTGCTTTTACAGAATTAAACCTTTTGTTGTTGTAACTTTTGATTGGACAGTGTGGATACACTTTTAGATTGACGTAGTTGTTAACAAATACCAGAAAATGCGCCTTTGGTTCAAGGTTGCTACATGGCGGCATGCATTTTTCTTTTTCCTTCTTTTATTTAAAGGTCAAGGTACCAAAAATACCCAAGAAATGCTTCTTTTTAGTGTCTCAGTGAGTTGCAAATATTCTTTTGTTGTTAAATATTGGTTGATAGAAAACAATGTCAAAATTGTAGAGGGAAAACTGTCTTTTTCTTTTTCTTGAAGCCTTCCGTTTGAATATTTTGCACCACTTATTCTTTTATCAGACATGCATGTAAAATGCACACAGCAAAAGAATAAGGTACATTTTAAACCAATGATTTCCTGATAATTAAATTAAATGTCTTCTCAAGCTCTAATATACCACCCATCAGATGAACATGTGTCTTATGTGAGGTTTGTAACGGTCAAGTTAACTGTATATTTTTAATAGGGATGCATAATATTGGATTTTTGGCCGATATCCGATATGTCGATATGTTAAAACTTATTTGGCCGATAACCGATACCAATACCATTTCTCCCCCTGGACCTACTTACAGAAACTGCAAAGCTTTCTCTACTGTGGAATTAAAATACTACATTATTTTGCATGGTCTTTGCCAATTTGACCTGCTACCAAATGCAGGTGCCAAAAAGGAGGCTGAAAATGATGTAACATTTCAACTTGGCTTATGTGTAATGTCAAATTTATTAATGACATTTACTCTCTCTAACACAATGACAACACTCAAACAGTGCAAATTTGTAAATTTTCACATATCTAAACTCAACCTGTTCACAAGCGTCAAGTAAAAAGCACATACCGATAAGTAGTATTGCATTAATAGATCTACTTGACAGTTTCTTAAATTAAAAATGAACTTAAAACAGAAGCCTTTTCTAACTGAGTTTTTTTATTTTATTTTTTTATTTTATGGAATTGCCGTTGTCCGATATTTAACTTTATCGCTAATATCGGCCGATGCCGATACCATGCCGATAATATCGTGCATCTCTAGTTTTTAATATTACACCAGAGATGAAACCCAGTCTGTTTTGACCATCTCCAAATAAATATTTTTACCCATCCACGTGGAAATTTTCTTTGACCCTGAGCCACCTGTAATGAGTTTGTTCATTTTTACAACCAATGTAAATGTTCACATCATCATCGTATAAGAAAATACTGGACACCAAATAGGAACTCAGAAGTTGAAATTGGAGCGGGTCCAGCATCCCTGCAGAATGATCCCAATATAAGTTTCAAATCTACCCCCCTAACATAAAAGCAACACAATGCAATTATTTAAATTAAAATACTGTACACCTCACCTCACCTTTTTTCAGTTGTTGATTCTTGTAGTTCTTACTTTATGTTCAAATATTAATTTTTCTGACGTGTTTAGCTCTAATTATTTATTGCGTGCTTTAAAGAATGACCATGTAACACTATGTCTGTGTATAGGAGAGGCAGGGACATTTGATTTATTTTCTTGTATGTTAATTGCTCACATCCAGTGTCTTTAAAGCTGAAATACCTGTCAGTATTGGTAAAATGAGATTAAAATTTCTCCCATTCACGAAGAGTAAAATTGTGTTCTACGACAGAGTCCCACTGAGATGTCTCAGTTTTAATAGAAAGTCTTGAGACTTCTTATTTGACAATTTTCTAACTCCATTTGCTAATTGTCTGTAATTTGCATCGTTGCACCACAACATCACCAACTCATTACCCTATACACACTTGCTTTTATTGCATAACTTTTCTGCAAGGTTTATTTTACTATAAAACACATTAGGTAGTTTACACAATTGTAAAGGCATGCTTTCAAGATTTATTTATTTATTTGTTTTTGTTACATGCATAGCCATTTAAAACCAACCTAGCTCATGTTAGTGCTGACATGTCCAATTCTATTGGCATATTTTAGTAATGGGTTATAATTTTGTACACATGTAAATCAACTTTTGCAATTTAAATGTAGAGAAAGCCTCTTGAACCCCATGTGATCTTTATTAACCCACCCTTAACGGAGGCATAAGCTGAGTGACCAACTTCAAGTTGGTTCAAAACCAACTTAATGTGTGCCGAGTAATTAAAGCTACAACATATTTTATTTTAAAGATAAATGTTTTCTGCTTATTTTAAGCCTGGTTGTACAAAAATCAGAGTCGCAATAGTTATTAGCTTGAGAAGGATGGTACCGCTAATAATTTACTGCCAAATCCAAAATAGCACTTTTTTGGCTATGTGTAGTACCAAGACTATCTAAAGAAAATATTTTCTGTCCTAAAGTATCCATAATATGCTGGCTTTAAGGTAGTATGTTTATTTCATAAAGACTTGTGAACTTAAATGAAAATATTTAGAAATATGGCAAACATAGTTTAAAAAACTAGCCTATTTTAAAAATTACTAGAGGCATTTTTACTTATCAAAATGTTAATTTTAGTGATATGGACACACATTGCACACCAAAAGTATTGGAAGTATTTCCGTTTTACATACCGGTAGGTCTTCAATTGACCCCTGGTTAGAAACCATTGATCTAAAACTTGCCATCTCCAAAAAAGTTACAGCCTCCATCAACATCTGGATGTCATGGTTAAAAAAGACTAAACTAAACTGTATAGTTATCCCCCAAAAATTGTTTTAACTTTACTATGAGCTTGCTAAAAAATATTTCCTTTCTATTTTAGACCTTTATAATTCTTCCTATTAAAGTCTGTCTGGTTGCTTGCCAATTAAAATGATCACACACCATAGCTAGTTGTAGTATAAATACATATGGATATGTACAAGTGAGTTTGGACTGTGTCTACATCTTTTTTTGCTAGTGTAAACATTATTAGTCTTTCCAGCTTTCTCCTCAGTTAACACAAACCCCTCCAGGATAAATAAGCTGATAACTACGCATAAACATGGCGTTAATGTTTGGACCCTTGAGGGGTCTCTCCAGTGTTTCCTCAGCAGAATACTAAGCAGTTAGCTATAACTGCTCGTGCCTCCAGCAAGGAAATTGTAGCAAACCAAATTAGAAACTGCCAAGTGAAAGAGTAGAAGGTATCTACCAGGTATAGACTGTCAGGTATGCAGTAGTTAGTTCTTGCAATTGTATACAGCTTTGGTAAAAGATTTCTATTTAAAAGACATGAAAGTTTTACTATTGCCTAAATTCTCTGGTGTTTTTCATTGCAAGTCTGAGTTCTGTTGGAACTTTAAACATTCTGTACGCAGGACCCAAAGGGAAAACTGAGATCATGATAAGAATACGTCAATGAATAATCACTCGTTTGATGGCTTCAGATTGTGTTTTTGCAACGACAAAACCCCCCCTGAGGGAGATCAAAGAGGTGGGGAAAAAGGGATGAAAGGATGGACAAACGGGTAGAGCGAAGCAAGGGACAAAGAAAAGAACGAAGAGGTGTCAAAAAAGAGAGGAGATGAGCCCTGATAGAGCTTTGAAGAAGGACAGGTTTTTTTTAAGGATGAAAGAGACCATGTCACAGAGAAAGTTGTAGTCCTATTCTCAAACTTTAAGCTTTTACTTCGGTGGGCACAAGAGATCTATGATGATTAAATTGGTTTTGGAAACCGGTAAACTTGCCAAGTCATGCACGGGGTTTATGCACAGTTTTAGGGTGGGGTTAGAGGTGACTGTAGAGGTCTGAGGTATAATATGAAGGGATCTTTGAAGATGCCTATGTTGAGTTTGGCTTTGCCTTTTATTTGGTCTTGAATAACATGGAACCTAGAGATAAAGAGAAAAATATACTCTGAATGGCTGAGCCTTGACTTGCTGTTTGTATCTTTCCACCTTTGAGTTGGGTTTTGATTCCAAATGCATCCAAACACTCAAGTCCAGATATCTCCAGTCTTGATTCTACGTCTTCTCTGATCTAATCTGACCTTTACCTTCTTTGTTTCGTCCCTGTCCCTGATTGTCTAATATCACTTTTTCTTTTTATGTTTTTTTGCCCAGTGCCAGTGGTCAGCCCACTCTTTTACCACCTGACCACGTGCAGGAGTTGAACCTTCGCTCCACAGGTATGCTGAACAACGTGCAGCGTCTCTTCTCCCACCACATGGTCCAGACTTTTGGATGTGACTACTCGACTAGCGGCATAACGTTAGAGGCCATTCAGAACAAGCTGCGAAGCTTTCTGGAGCTTCGGACTGCAGACGGGCCACGCCATGATACGTATTTGATTTTCTACAGTGGACATACACAGAAAGCGTCTGGTTCCTGGGTTCTGGCTGGTGAGTGTCACATACTCATTGCTGTTTTATTTTATATGTTGATGCTTTATCTTGATTATTGAATCTGTTCTAATTGATTGTATCCTTTTGCCTCTACCTTTTAACCCTAGTTTCATTTCCTGGAGGTCTTTTCTAACCTCTTGGCCCTTAATTTGAAGTTACAAGGAAAAGTGGTTAAAGTATTTCTCCACAGATAAAACAAAATGGTACACAAACATTTTTGGTGCTACACTTTTCCATAAATCAACTTAATGTCTATATGCCAATGTATTCTGTGTAACTAGATAGCTAGCTTGCAACAAACTTCACTATAGATGTTATTTTAATGTTTGCTATAGAAGATTAGCAATGAAACCATTAAGTCTGTCACTGTAATAGATTGGAGTACATCAAATTACAATGGTTGTTGTGGCTATAAAATACTTAGAATGCAGAAAATATTTACACTTTGTTTGAAATGTACCCCTGAAAAGACTTTGATTGAAGGTTCAAATACCTTTCTACCCTCAGCACCTTGTGTGAGCATGCTATAAATATAAGAGGTCGTATACTTGTTAACCCCTTCCTCTTAGCCCTATACCTACATTTTATGCAGCCACAGAGGGTTATAGTTGTCCCAGAATTCTTGGATGAAAGTGGAGGGCAAGGGAGTATTTATTTTTTCTTTTCCCCAGATACATGTCACTTCATACATAATGTCTTTTTCTTATTCTTGTAAAAAACAAAACATTATCTTTACCATGTAAAAAGATTTTCTCTTAAGTAATTGCCTATAATTACCAAAGACACAAATCAGAGTTGAAAAAACGTCCTAAGCCCAGCAGAAATCAAGCAGAGTTATTGTTTTTGACAGCAGAAAGTAGACATCATATTGTGACAGACAACTTATTTGCATTTCAGTCTGATTTCCATCTCTTTCATTTTTATTCTCAGTCAATCACAGATCAGACAAGCATGACAGAGTGGAAATTACTTCGAACAACTCTGCAAATAAATAAATAAAAATAAAAATTGATTCCAGGAGGAAGGATACAGGGAAAATCATTTGAACAGCTAGCAGTCCTCCCCCATATGAAAGGAGAATCGCAGCAGGTTAAGATCGTGTCGAACTCTTTCTGTGTGGCTGCACTTGCGGGGAAAAAAAAAAATCCCTAAAAAGACTTCTGAGTCATCTTTCTGAAGGGTTGCTTTCAAACTAAAAAAAATTGTGTACGTTTTTGAAAATGCGAGGCTGTTTGGGCAAAAATCCAGATTGGAATTGATTTTGACTTTTTATGTAGACACTGCATTAGTGTTGTCCATCGCTAAATGATGTAGTGATCTCTTAAAGAAGCAGAGTGTATACTATATTCAAGTGACCACAACTGATGCACAATACTCGAAGTGATACAGCAAAACTGTTTCCAAACTGTTGTTTTGTTTAGAAAAATGAAGACATATGACAAGAGTTGGCTTTTATGTACTATAGCTTGTTCTTAAATCTTGTTTACTTTTTGTCTGAGTCCCATTTCTTGGTGTCAGCCGTACCTCTACCCCTCAGCCCATAATTTGAAGTCCCACGGTGTAGTGCTTTTGGATATTTTACGTGCTAGACTCTAAGACTGACAGCTGAGACTAATTTGTACAATTATAATGCAGTACTGCGTAGTTTCAGTCTTGCTGTCTGGAGCTTTCTTCAAGATACAGTAGTCCCTTACTTATCGTGGGGGTTACTTTCCATTCACCACCGCGATAGGTGAAAATCTGCGAAGTATGGACATTATATTTATTTTAGTGTTTATATGTATTTTAAGGCTTTCTAAACCCTTGCAATGTTCTTAACAAGGTTCTAATATCTAAATGCTTTAAAAGAGCACAGTGAAAGAGCAAAAAAGTTTTTAAAAAGAGTTAGCGTGACTGAGTGCGGCTTATTCACGTATAAGACAGACACACACACCCCGCCCCCTCCTTTCTTTTTCTGAGACTGTTGCACGCCCGCCTGTTGTTTGTCTCTGGGACGCGATGGGGAAAGACAAACCCCACCTCCTGCTCCCTCCTTTCTTTTTCTTCGCTGTGACAGACAGCCTTGGAAAGAGAAAGGAGGGGGCGGGAAGGTGGGTCTGTCTTATACCCGAGTGAACCGTGCTCAGCCACTCTATCTTTTTAAAAAACTGATTCACTCTTTATTTTTCCACCTAAGCATTTTTTCCAATATTCTTCATTTGTTCATCTCATCTGTTTATCCCTGATCCCTGAGCAGTAGCGATGGGGAAAGACAGACCCCGCCCCACCCCCACCCCCTCCTTTCTCTTTCTGAGGCTGTCACAACAGAGAAAGAGAAAGGAGGCGCGGGGGTGGGGTCTGTCTTCCCCCATCTCCAATCGTGTGTCATGTACAATCTTGCGTTGAAAACACGTGAAAGAGTGAGTCCACAAAAGTCAAACCACAAACTGTCGAGGGACTACTGTAGTAGCAGCAATCATAGGTATATTACTTTATCTTTTATTCCAAAACAAGGACACAAAATTACTTCACAAATAAGTATGTTTTCATAACATTAATAGACATTCTGACTCCAAGCTCAAGTCAGAAAGCACAAAACGTAAGGCTAGGCAGAACGGATGAAATGGGATTTAATCTTTATGTCTTTACATGCACCTTTTACTCACAAACCAAACTCTTCGGTTTCAGGAGGCGAAAGTCTCCAACTGGCTCAGTTGCTGGAGATGTGGAAGGAGAAAAATGCCGGCCATGGTTCCCGACTCATCATCATCCTGGACACGGAGAACTCGCTCCCTTGGGTCAAAGATGTGCGTCGGGTGGATAACGTCTACATGGCGGTGCAAGGGGCTGAGCTGTCGGCCTCTAGGCTTGACCCAGAGGCAGGAGAAGGGCCCTTGCTTGGCGACTTTACCTCTGAGTGGGTAGAGTTTAACTGCAACCCTAACTGTGACACCCTATGGTCTGACAAGGGAAGGACAGTGATGGCGATGTACGGTGTGTCTAAAAGATGGAGTGACTACACTCTTCATCTTCCCACAGGAAGTGACGTGGCCAAGCACTGGAAGACCCACTTTCCCAAAGCTACCTATCCTTTAGTTTACCTGTCCAACTGGTGCTGTGGCCTCAACCTGTTCTGGTTGTGTAGCATCTTCTTGCGTTGCTTCAGGAGGTGTAAATTATCTTGGTTTCCTCCAGCTGTACTGGACACCGGACAGGGTATTAAACTAGTACACTCATAGGCAGCGTGGGAAGGTGTCAGATACATACAGTAGCTACATTTTTGTGGGTACAAAGTGTTTATATAAACAGTTTATATACTTCTACTCTCTAATATGTTTAGAGAGTAAAATCTTCTGATCAAGAAGATCGGATAAAAATGTTTTGTCTTCAAACTCGTGATTAATTTTTCTTTTGTTAAGTTTATAAGACATTGTGCCGATGATCATAGAAAAGGGCTGCCTTAGTCTGTTTTTGTTTTATCATTCAAAACATTTATTCCAACAAATTGTTTTGGTAAAAGGTTGCAGTCAATCAAAAATGATAATTAGGAGCAGGGAGTTATATCTTTTAATCGCTACTATTGTTTCTAGCCTTATTTCCTTCGTTGTTTGTCAGTCAAAAAAAAAAAAAACTATTTACATTTTTGGGAAAAGTTGTATGTGTCATTATTTATAATATATTGCCTTGAAGGATTTTGGATCATTTTGCGGTTTTCTTTGCATCCACTGTTTAGAAATGTGCATATTTTAAGCCTGACCAAAGCTGTTAAGTCATTCTAAAGCCTTCTAACAAACTATTTCAACTGGTTTGGTTTAATGGATCTTGTCATATTTAGTGTTTGTATACACATATGTTGCAACACCAAGTGCCATTGGCTGTAATGTGCCTAATTCTGTTTGTTTACCATAAATCCAACCAAAAGTTGTTCTGTTTAAATTCAGTTCGGTTGGATTTTTCTAGTCATTCGTATCGTCCATGCTGAGTTCACTTCAAATAATTCATTATCAAAACTCGCAATACTTTGTGTTAGTGCAATGAATGTAAAAACTTTTTTGTTTATCTTCGTTTTGGAGTATTTTATATGTTTTGTTCCTGCATCTCAATGCTGCCTTTAAAAATGTTTATCTTAGTTTCCAAAGTCTTAAAATGGCAGAACAAAGCTTTAATAAATAAAATAAAAAACTGATATAACAACAGCGTTTTATTCATTTCAAATAACACAGGAAAATAAATCAATCTTGGAATTTCTAGCCAGAGTTTTAGACTAATGTTTGCTGAAATTTGATGGCTTTTGAGCTGTTTTAGTCAAACTTGAATAAAAAAAACATCTGACTTTTTTGCAATATTGCAAGATGTCATGCTCAAAGTATGTGTTGTCCAACTACAACACCAAATTTAAGCTCAATCTTTGTAAAAAAAATAATAATTAGCTAATGTTGATTAGCTGTAATGGCCATCTTAAAGTCTATTAACTCTAAATGTGAAATGAGTTTTACAAGTACAGTCTATGAGTGCTGTCAGAGTATCACTAAAATCTCTAGCTGTTTGTGATATTTTGCTAACAGGCTGACAGTTTTATTTGTAGTGTGGAGCACAGAGTGTGTTGTAGCACTCGGTCTTTTCTCGAGATTGATTTTTGCTCAGTCTTAGACTCAGGATTTTTATTATATTTTATCAAGACCAGTCGACTACAGCTACAGTAACGTCCATTTTTACTGCAGCTTCTGGCCGCTTTCAAATACAACCAGTAAAGGTTTTAACTTTGACATGTTTAATGGTCTTGCATTCCTCGTAGTTTGGTCTTGGTCTTGACTAAATTCAATTCAAAAATACTTTATTAATCCCAAAGGGAAATTGTGTTGTCGTAGCTCATCATCCTGGTTTCATTCAAGAGTTGTTATAGATGCTGATGGCTGTGTGCAGGAAAGATCTCCTGCAGCGAATCTGTAAAGTCTGGCCACAGATACCGATCCATCCACCAGGATCCAGCTTGCTATCAGATCCGGCGGGCGTCTCGATCCTGGGCAGCAGGACTGCCCGAATGCCCGGCAGAATTCCTCCCTGAGCGATGGTCTCTCCTCCCAGCAGTCTGCCGAGCTCCTCGTCGGACAGCTGAAGGTGCCAGATGATCCCGGTCCTCCTGTTGTCACGAGCTGAGTCAGGTACTCGAGCACCGCCACCAGGTTGACGGGAATTCATTCACGGTGCCTCCTTTTCAACTCATTTGGGATTTGGGGCTTTAGTTGAGATAGTTGAGCTTTGAGATGTTAATCAGCTGCTCCAGGTTGTAGTTGGTTGTTACTATCTCAGAGTATATTTTCTTAATAAGTCTCAGCTACTACTACAGCAACTGTTCACGTAATAACTGTAAAACTGACTTGAGTTACAACTATTTTAGCATTAGCAGTCGTCCTGAATGGGGTTGGTTCCACTTATTTAATTTTAGATGCACATCCAGTGGTTACTTTCTGAGTTTCGATAAATTCTGTCCACTGATGCATGAAAACATCACCTTCGGCGAAGGGCGATAACCATTTGGCACATATGAGCAACAAGATGTAGTGAAAGCGTTCTTTGTTTTTCTTTGCTGTAGCCTGCAAGCTAAAGGCAAAAGCTAAGGTCAGGGATTCATGTATACAGCCAAAATCATTTATAAGAATATTAGATTATGAGCTGGATTCATCTCCTAAACTGGATTAGGCAATAAAACAGTCAACCCCTTCTAAAGCCTTTGTGGATAAGCTGAGTCCAACCTTACTCCAACACACACTGGCACAGAAGCATAAGTGAGTGCACCATTTTTGTTTTTTTCTGCAGATGTGCATTTCTGTGGACAATTACTACCTGTCATGCTGAACAGTTACTTACCAGATGACTAGCAAAGTACCTCATGAATCTGTGGATAGGTTTAATTGAAACGCCCAAGAAAGTAATCACTGGCTGAACAACTGCAACTGATTTACATTTTGAAGTCAACCCAATTTAAGATGGCCACCACAACTAAACAACTGTATCCTTCACAAAAATAGCTACTAGCCAGTGAATTTTACAGATATTTTTATAACAATTGGTGTTGTAGTAGCTGAGAGTCCCAAATGTGTTGGAACAGGTCCATCATTGACTGAGAGAAAACCCAATGGAATTTCGAAGGGGTCAATAACCATGTATGGATTCTCACTCATGCCACATTAAACATGGCAACCCCTTTGGATGTCTACCTTCAGAAATCCTTAAAATTCACACAAAAAAGCCTTAGTACTCTCAGACGACAAACTTTATTTACAACAACATAAATATTATGTTGAATGTAGATCTATACATCTGAACTATTCACAGCACAATCCAGAAAACACCTCGCTAGGTGATCCTGGTTGTATTCAACAATCATGGTTGTAAAAACACTCAAACAATGACTTTTGGTGTGTGAAAGCACGAGAATTTGTTCTGAACAAAGTCTCTCTATTGCGGAATTACCTGAGATTCGAGGATAAATATAGAATCAGACATCCAGTTAGTTCACATGCACAAACGAGCGTTACTGCAGGTCCTTCCTCCCAGCAGCTGTTACACTGTACAACCATCACTGCTCCCAACAAACTCAATAAGGATTAAATACATGCTGACCTCTGCTAAAACACACACTCTGCCTATAATACTGGATTGTAAATAGTCTGTCCTTATCAATGTTCAAACACATATTGAACATTATTATTGATATTGTTTATCTTATTTCTTTATATATTGTATTGTTTATTAACATTTAGGAACTTTTGTGTGAAATCTTTTTTATCTGTTGCTGCTGTTACACTCTTGAATTTCCCATCCGTGGGACAATGAAGGCTGTTTCTATTCTATTCTATTCTATTCTATTCTATTCTATTCTATTCTTTACACCACTTGTTTGTGTGAATTCATCATGATAAAGCGACAATGTTTAATGAATACAAGACCGTTAGACGAGTTTGTCTTGATTGCATCATTCTGTACTTTTATCACAAAATGTCCTCTGCACCATAAAACCACATATAGTAACAAAGCAGGCTATCCTGACAAATCTAACAAGTTGCTTTCACAAACCCAAGTAAACCAGTGACTACAGACGAAATCAACTATACCCAGATAAAATGTTATTTTTTTAATAGTATAATTTTCTTATTGAGTACAACACGTGCCCTGACCAAAAGATGCTTGAGGAACATATGTAAGTAGTTCTGTTACTAAATAAACTACATCTAACAAAGTTGTGTAGTACACACACAGATTTTCTATTAAGATTAGCTTCAAAATGAAACATGGCACAGAATGTGGTGATAAGAGGCAACAGCCAAAGTTGCGGGAGAGGAGGAAGACCTTAGCATTTGCTTACCGGCTGGCTCTGAGATATAAAATAAATTTAAAACTAGTTTTGAAAAATCCGCAAGACTTTCATTGTACATGTATAGTCATGAAAAATTGGGAAAAATCTGTATAATTTACAGAAAATCCATAAAACGACATGCTCTTTATTCACAACGGCATAACACATAATCTTAACGCTCATACAAATAAAACATAAAAAACAAACACAGTAAAAAGAATGCTGGGAAACTGTTTAACAATCATATTGTTTAAAATAAATTAATGTATTTTAATTGTACATATTTCAAAAGAAGCGCGCACCACTGAGAAGAGTTTTGATTTGTTGGGGCTCCTGTCATTTAACTTGTGCTTAGTTTTCATTGGTCAGTGGTCAGTGCTTGGGGGCGGGGCTTCAGTGATTCCGTGTTGTAATGTTTAAAAAAAAAAAAAAAAAACAAGACCGCAGAAAAGAAAAAGAAAAGAGAGGAACACAAGAAAGCAGTAATAAAAAATAAACTTTGTAATTTATTTTAAGCCAGTCAGCAATGATGTAGCAGGACTCCCGTTGCTCTGAATGACTCCAGGTTAGTTAATATAAAAAGCAGTTAGCATAGATGCTAACAGGAACAGGGTTTACAACACAGGTCCAGGAGCTACGTGTCACCTTGCTGTCAAAATAAGTTGAAAGGGAAAGAGGGACAACGTGAGTATTTGTAATTTTCTGAATTCTTGAATAATGGAACTTGTTTGCAGGCAATCTTTATTTGTGGTTGTTTCATAGATGGCGTTGGAGAGGAGGGAGAGTCCTATGTTTCCAAAGGGGGGAAGGTGATCCAGAAGGTGATTCTGTGTTCATTCATACCCATCTGCTCACCACAGACTCATGTTCGGGCTGCTGTTGTTACGCCATATTGTTTTACATTATTGGCGTTTAGCATATATCTTAGATCTTTTATCATACCATTTGGCATTCATTTAGCGTATATCTTAGAGTATATTTTAGATCTTTATATACTGTTTCTTTTTATACTTTATATTTTTGCTATTCTTGAGTGCAATTGTGATCCTGAGTACATGATTTCGTTCCACCTCATGTACCACATGGGATGGAAATTAGGGCTGCACGCTATTGGAATTTTTTAGCCGATATCTGATGCGATACAGATATTTTATATACGTTCCTTTGTCAGAACATAGCCCTCTTGTTTAGGCTTATTTGCTATAAAAATTGTGCAACAGCTGTAAGAGCTGGTGACATATATTCAGTAACAGCCATATGATACGCATAGCACTTTAACTTATATTAA